TCTACTTTTTCATTGGCAAAAATGAACTGAACAATGTTAAGATAGTAATTTATCACTGATTCTTCTGATTTTAACATCAAAGAAACAATATTCTCAATTAAAAATTGTTTGGCGGATGTAAAAAATTCTTTGTTCCAATTTCTTTCAACTGAATTTTTAAAAAAAACAGTGGAAACTTTCTTTACGATTGGATCGGAATCTTTCATAAATGAATCTGGCAACGACATTATAAAATTAGCATTTTTCTCTAATTCTTCTAATGCATCTTCTGCTTTTTTTCTTTTTTCTGTGTCTGGACTGATAATTTGAGTCATGAGGATTCTTATTTCTTGATGGTTCATAGTTGGGGTTTAATTTTTTAAAAAAATTAATAAAAAAATAAAAATTTTTAATTTTTAAAAAAATGATTTTTTTTAATTTCTTTTTATTTTTCTTCTTTTAAATTTTGGTTGGCTTTAATTTTGTAAATTTCTAATTTTTCTTGGTTTTCTTTTAATTCTTCAATGTTTAATTTTTCTTTGTAAATTTTGATATTTAACTCTTTTTCAAATTCTATTACTTTATCAATGTCATATTGTGTTACAATACTGTACACTTGCCCTGTTTTATTGTTTCTACCTGTTCTTCCTGATCTATGCACGTAAACATTGGGTTTTTTTGGTAAATCAAAATGTATAACTATGTCAACATCAAAATCAATTCCTCTGGCCATTAAGTCAGTAGAAAACATTTTCTTTGTCTTTTGATACTCTTCTACTGCTTTAAATCTTTCCTTTTGATCCATTTCTCCATAAATTTGTGTTACTTCAATTTCTAAGAAATCAAATATTTTTTTATACAATTTTACTTTATGGCATGAACTGAAAAAAACAATTATTTTTTTATCATTGAATAATTCAATTAATTTTGCTAAGCCACTTTCTTTACATTTTTGAGGTATAAAAATCATTTTATGTTCAATTAATTTAGGAATGTCACTTTCAATCATATTTATATGAATAAATTCTCTTTCACCAAGAAATTCTTTAATAGTATCGGAATAAGTAGCAGTGGCACACACCAATTGAGTAGAAGGATTAAAATTAGAAAGAATCATTTCTAAATCTTTTTTAAAATTATTTTCTAATAATTTGTCAATTTCATCTAAAATAATCATTTCTGCTGAATTAAACATCCATCCTTTTTCGTAATGCTCTTTTATTCTTCCTAACGTTCCAATAATAATCCTATTATTTATTTTTAATTCTTTTACTTGGTCTTCGTAACTCAATCCACCAATCAGAAGTGTCATTTTTAAATTTAATTTTTTAAACATAAAAATTACATTTTTTATTTGTAAAGAAAGTTCTCTTGTGGGAGAAATTATCAGAAATTTGCTGTTTTCTTTTTCTAAGAATCTTGTTAGCATAGGAAGCAAAAATGAAAGTGTTTTACCAGTACCAGTTTGAGAGATTATCAATGTATTCTTTCCTTCCTTGATTGGAAAGAAAGTTTTTTTCTGCAAATCATTGATTTTTTCTATTTTATGCTTCTTTAAAATTTTTTTTAAAATTTGTTCATTTGCTGTCATACAATAAAAATTTTAAATTTAATTTTATTTTTATTTAAAAAAATTCTTCATTTTGTGCGTCACAGAAATCTCCTTCAGAAACTTCTTCTAAGCTTACTTCTTCACTAATACTTGTTTCTTCGTTAAGTGTTTCTTTGTCACTTTCACCACTAGAAATTTCCATAAGCATAAATTCATCATTAGAATCATCATAGTTCACCAATTTATTGGAATTATCCTTGAGATTCTTTCTTAATTCGTCTGGTAATAAATTATAATAAAGTATTTTGTTCATTTTTTCTAAATTAGTAAGTTTTTCATTTGTGTATTTGTGTACGTATCTCTCAATTTTTTCCTCATTTTCTTTATTTAATGCATATTTTTTTATTTCATTTTTTAATTTCTCTTTTTCTTTGACATAATTTATTTCTTGTGGGTTATAAAAATTTTGTGAATTTTCTTTGTTCATTTTAAAGGAATGTAATTTACAAAAAATATTCTTTTTTTTTATAAATTTAAATAAAATATGTTTATTTATAAAAATGATTATGGCAAAAATACAAAAAATTCTTTGTGTGAAATACCAGAAGATTTCAACACCTCTTCTAAATTTTTAATTAACATTTCATGTCTGGCAAAATTAGGCAAAAAATCTTGTAAATTTGTGGTGTATTGAATGTTAACAGTTAATTTAATTGAATCACCTGCCAATTCTGACTTAATAATCAAAACTTGGCCTGTAAATTCTTGCGAAATCTTTTTTAGTTTGTCTGATAAACTATCCTTGAATTTAAGAATTTTATCGAATGAACACGAACCATCTATTAAAAATTCTACTGTTTCACTTTCATGGGTACTTCTTCTCAGATTACATATTTTTTGAGTGGCAAGAAACATGTTGGGCATGTAAACCACTCTTCCATTGTTATTTACAAAGGTTGTGTAAAATAAATCAATGCCAATTACCTTAAGTTCTTCATTGTTGACTGTTATTCTATCACCATTGTCAAAAGGATGGCTGATAAGTAAAAATACAAAACATCTGTACAATTCTTTTATGCTGTCCTGAAAAATCCAACCAAATGCGAACAAAAAAGGGCCTAGTGAAGCTAAATACACTTTGTAATCTACATTTAAAAAGAAAAGAAACAAAATCAATCCTGCGAAATACACTCCAAACAATAAAACCACATTTAATCTAGAAAGAATCTTATCTCTATCAGTAAGTGATAAAGCAATATCCACCCTGTCTCTATACAAATTAATACATTGCTCTTTAAAAGTATCAAACATAATTGGTTCTTTTTTTTCTATTCCCTTTCCTTGGCTCAAATATTTGTAAACATCTTCGTAAATGTCAGGAAAGTATTTTTTAATTTTCTTGTATTCTAATTTTTTAATGCCCAAATACCCAAAAATTGACTCAGAAATTGTTTCTGCTGCTTCTTTACTGGTTAAATTTAAAGAAGAATGCTTTAGAAAAATGCTTGATTCATACTCATTAGTCATTTCATTAATTACTTTTTCCATTGCTTTAGTTCCTTCTATNTTTTTAGTGGCTATCGCCAACAATTTTTCAAATACAAATGCTTTAGAATTGGCATCATAAATTCTGCTAGCAAAACTTGCTCTTCCAATTTCTCCAAAAAAAATATTCATAATCAAATTTTCTAAAAATAGCATAAAAGAAAAACAAACATACCAAAGCATGACAGTCAAAGCCAAGTGGTTTATGTCCACAGTGCTTTTAAATAAAGTATACCCACCCAATAATTCAGCAGCTACTAAAAATACAAGAAAAGTAGCAATGGTATTTTTTAAATTATCAGTTGAACTACAAATTATTTGTAAAGTAGTTGCAATGGCACCTTCTATCTTTACGTCTAATAAAGTAAGTATCCAAACAAACAAAAATAATAAATTATCCATTAAAATCTTAGAAATTATAAAAATGTCATACGTCATGGCAATAAAACAACAAATTTTAAAAAATGTGTTCAATGTTTGATTTTTTATGTTTAAAAATACACTAAAAATCTCTTTAAGGGAAGGATCTTCTACTATTANCACNAAAATNACAGGTATTAACATAAAAAAGAATGTTACAATAATCATTTCTAGTGTGTATCTGATAATTGGCTTTGTATCTCTAAATTCGTAATGAAGAAATTTATCCAATTCTCCAAAGCTGTACTGAAATTTTTCAGGTTCTAAAGGTTTGATAAAATCTCTTTTTTCAACTGTGTCTTCTATTAATTCTACCTGTTCTACTTTATTTTCTACAACATCTTTNAAAAATTCTTTTGCTGCGTTTGCTTCAGGTGCTGGTTCTTCTTCTTCTTTTTTCTTTTCTTCTTCTTTTATTTTATCATCTTTTTTCTTGTCTTCTTCTTTTATTTTATCATCTTTTTTTTCTTCCTTTGATTCTTTTTTCTTATTGTCTCCTTTCTCTTCCTTCACATCTTCCTTTTTCTTCTTATCTTCTTCTTTTATTTTATCTTCATTTTTCTTGTTTTCTTCTTTCTTTTCCTTTGATTCTTCTTCTTTTTTCTTTTCTTCTTCTTTTTCCATTGTTATTTTATGTTTAGAATAATTTGAATTCTACCAATGTTACAAAACTTAGTCAAATTCATTTATGAAACAATGTATGAGATAAAAAAGAATATTTTTTTATTTGTTTTATGCAAAATTAATAATTNNTTTTTTAAATGATTATTTATTCATTCTCCTATTCTTCTTCTTCTTTGTTCTTCTTCTTCCATAGAAAGTTTTAATGCCAAAGCCAAATCAGGATCATTCTCATAATCAAATACACTGAGCCCTAATACCTTAAGTGATTCAGTTAAAAATGATTCATCATCATCAATCACTGCTATTTCACCTGAAAAATCATCTGCTAAAATTTCTTGAATGGCATGTCTTTGTTCACCAAACAAAACCAAAGCAACGTCTATTCCTACTTGAATACATTCACTTATATTTGAAACTAACCCAAAAATTGCTTTGTCAAGTTCTCCTTCTTTAATGTCACTGCCAAAAAAAATGACTAATTTTTTTTCAGGCTCTTCTCTTTTTAACAAACAAATTCTACACCTGGAAAGTACTTTGTCAATCTCAAAATTAGAGGATAATTTAAGATTACCTAAAAAATTGGTTATGTATCCCATTTTACTTGTTGGTGTAAGAAAGTAATTTTCTCTTGGTTGACAAAGAGGAGCTATTCCTAACGAGCTTTCTGGATTGGAGAGTATGTTTGTAATTATTATTGAACATGCTTCTTTTTCTAAGTGAAGTCTTCCTGGCAAGTAATCCTGATTTTGCATAAACAAAGAATTGTCCACTGCTANGATCAATGCTTGTTTTGACATAAAGAAACAAAAAATTTTTTTATTTTATAAAAAAATAGCATAAAGTAAAAGAAATATAAAAAATAATTTATTTTTTTAAAAAACTAGTCAGACAACAAAGTAAAAACTATCATATAATCAAGTAACTTACTTTGTCTTAAATCCTCATCCTAGTGTGTTTTCTGCAGATCTTTTCGATCTTTTTTGTTAGTTACTAAAAATGTGATTCTGAATAGTAACCGACGAGGGGTGAAGAATTTTTTAAATTTATACTTTATTTTTTCTAGAAAAATAAAATTACAAAAAAATAAATCAGAAAATTAATCGATTTTTAAATAAATTAGAAAATAAATCAAAAAATAAATTAATTTATAAATGAATCAGAAAATAAAATATAAATTAAAATAATAATTTAATAAAAAATTATTAAAATTTTTTACCCATGAATGGACTTTATTGTGCAAACAATTTAAAAAGAAACAGACAGAAAAAAAGAAGGGCTGACTCATATTACAGAAAAAAACAATTGGGTACAGTTTATAAACAGGATATCATTGGTACTTGTCCACAAGCCACTGGTATCGTTTTGGAAAAAATGTAAGTAAAAGATGAGAAAAGTAGGGACATCTGAAAATGATGATTCTTTTTTCTGATACTAATTAGACAAGTAGGAGCAAAACAACCTAACTCTGCCATCAGAAAAGGTGTGAGAGTACAACTCATTAAAAATGGAACTAAGGTCAGTGCCTTCGTACCACTTGACGGTTCTATCAATCATATTGATTTGAATGACATAGTTACTTTGAAAGGATTTGGTAAAGGTAATAAATCTAAAGGAGATATTCCAGGTATTAGGTATCAGGTTGACATGGTACAAGGGGTTTCTTTGATAGCATTGTTTAAAGGAAAGAAAGAGAAACCTTCAAGATAATAAATAAATTATCATTTTAATAAATTAATTTTTTATTAATTATAGGGTTATTCATAATTATATGCAAAATAATTCAAAATAAGTGCAAAAAAATGCAAAGTAATTCGAAATATATGCAAAATAA